GGGTTTTCCCAAAATACATCTAATGGCTACTGGATAAGGAAGCTGGGCAAGGGTCTGCAGCACACAAGTCTTATGAGAGGGAGCTGAGTTTAGTCTGGAGAAGAGGAAGCTCCGGCTGATTTTAGTGCTCTTCAGCACCCTGAAAGGAGGAGGTTGTAGCCAAGGGTTCAGTCTTTTCTCTCTGAAAACAAGTGACAGAAATGAAGGGACACAGTGAGGGATGTTAGGGAACATCCCTGCTGAGCCAGGGCAGGTCTAGGTTGGACCTTAGAATTTCTGTACAGGAATGGTGATTAGACATTGGAATGGGCTGCCCAAGGAGACTGGTGGAGTTACTTCCCCTGGAGGTGTTCAAGGAAGGACTGGATGTGCCATGGTCTGGTTGACAAGGTGGTGTTCAGTCTTGGGTTGGACTTGATCGTGGAGGTCTCTTCCAGGCTGATTGTGTGATTCTGTAATGGTGTGACTTGGGTTGCAATGCAAGATGTAACCAAAAGTATGTATATTCTATTACCAGCTGTTAAAACCAGGTGGGGCACTGTTCTTTATCTCTTTCATGAGCCATCCCTCATAACTGGGGGATCTCTTCTGTTAATGGGCCAGCTGTTAAAACCAGGTGGGGCAGTGTTCTTTATCTCTTCCCCACCCATTCTCCCTCCAGGGGGATCTCTCCTGTTCATGGGCCATCGAGTCTCACTGCAGGACTGATAAAATGACATCATCCCATTGGGAGATGCTCCACCCAGGGGGAGGAGCCCAGCATTCCTACCTGGATATAATCTGAGACTGGGAACACCACAGGAGCCTTTCTCCAGTGGATTCCCAGAGGAAATACCGGACCCATCTACACCACTGGACCTTCAGAGGAAAACTACACCCTTCCACAGGATCACTGCTTCAACAGAACCACATCTGTCACTCCATGAGGAGTGCAGCCACCTTTTAATGGACAGCTACCAACACCCTGACCAACAGGGTGTCAGGTTGTATCCCAGCTCTGTCAGTGGTGTCTTTGGTACTACTGCATTTTTATTTTCCTAGTAAAGAACTGTTATTCATATTCCCATATTTTTGCCCAAGAGCCCCATTTCAAAATTATAGTAGTTCAGGGGGGGTTACTGCCTTCCTTAGCAGACACCTGTCTTTTCAAACCAAGACATGGTGTTAATATGAATGTTATGTTTTAAAATGGGCTCTGCCATTTCACCTGTTTTTCAGGCAGGAAAAAAAAGTTGACTTCTATGAGTAGCAGCTCTCCCATGTTAATGTTAATATGACCAAATCCCTCTGATGTACAGCCTTTTTCTTAGGGAATTAGCTCAAAGGCAGAGCTGGTTGCTTTGGTGGGTCAGTTACATCCCTTCTGTTTGTGCAGGTACTGAATCCTCTCAACATTACTAACCCTGCAAAGGATATCTAGTTGTTGTCTTACTCAGCTTCCTGACTCAGCTTTTGGCATAACAGAGGAAGTGTTAACTGTGTTAGACTTGACTTAAAGTCGTTGAAGCTGTTGTCAAACTGCTTTCAAAACTGCTAATTTTCAGCCAGTTCTCTGGTCCAGCTGCCATTGAGAAACCTGGAACACTAGTTAAAAGCTCATGGCCACTGAAATATAACTGTAATGCATGTGAGTGGTTTTGCCTCTCATCTCTCAAAATACCTCTTTATATCTTAAGATATAGGTCTCCCCTATTTTGTTTTTACCTGTAGGCAAAGCAATTTCGCTTGCTGTCAATCCTTCCTGGTGTGGCACAGTTTTAAACCTCTTAAGATGCTTATGTCTTTTCCTTTTTTTTTTTTTTTTTTACTCTAGCACACAAGACTGGACATTACTAAAATTAATGCCTCAACAACACCAACATCTTCTGTCCTGCCTGTCACAGTCCCCATGCCTGTTTACACATCCCAGTACAAATGCTTTTGAATCAGTCTGATGTATTCACAATCTTGCTGACCTGTTTTACCCCCACATCCATTTCTGCTGACCTCCCAAGCCAGGTATTTTTCCCTCAAGTAGACTAATGCTGCTTGAGAAATTATTTCCTGCAACAGCCCTAATGCTATGCCTTCATTTTTATTTTATAATCAAGCAGTCAAGACATCTTTTAAAATGAAATTCCACATGATGTTAAGTCAGAGAACTGTAGAATTTGTCATCCTCTGTAAATCGATTGCACTTCTCAGAAGAATTGTATTTAAAAAGCAAAACTAAGATTGAACTGTGCCACAATTACAGAGGGGTTGTGTAACTCTAAATTTAGAAGAGTGATTTGTATGTATTTGTAGATATTTAAATCTTTAAATTTGCTTAAACTAACCCAACTAAAATAATCTAAATGCAAACAAAGGTGAATAACAAAGAATGTGGGTCGGAGTTATACCAATATAAGGTAAAATATGGCAAAAAATGTCCCCATTAGTGAGGGACAGAACTTGTGTTTGTATATGTTTTGCTGTTCCATGTGCTTAATTCCATTAGCTCAGAATTCCTCAGTTCTGTTCACTGTCCTGTGTGCAGCTTTTGATGTGAACAGTGCAGTGAGCAGCTCATGAAGTTACTGGCAGCACAATCTGCAGATGGGACGTTCTAGCACAGCCTGATGGCTACACTGCCACTTTAGGTGCAGTTGGGCAAGTCATTCTACATGATTCTACTTCAGTTTTCCTAATATGAGATGAATCCATCTTTGTAAAACACCAAAAATCTAAAACTGAAGCCTGTGATGTGAATATCTATTAAAATAACTGCCACAGAAGGGATAAAAATCAACAGTGCTGCCCAAGTCCACTGTCCAGTGTAAAGAGATGTTTTTACTCTTCATTCTGACTTCGTGTAATAGCTACAGAATTAGGTCTCCAGTACAGCTGAACAAGCTGGTAAATAATGCATTCAGCTAATTCATTTCTTAGATGGTCATCATATTGTCTGTCTGGTCCATTTTGGCTGTGCAAAGCATTTTTATGATGTGTTTTATATCAGGTGATGTTTGGACAGTAACAATTCAAGAAAAAATACAGACTTTATCAGGGAATAAACAGAAATCTTACCTTTTCTTTATCATCTGGCCATCAGATTTTACGCAGTAGGCTTCCCATTTGTCTCTTGCTCGCTTTCTTGTTTGTACTTTAATCTGTGATGTCCTCATCTGTGATGAGATTTCAGAGCACAACATAAGATATGAATGTAAAAGTGCTGATGTTTCAAAGGGGTACTGTTACTTGTCCTTCTCCTATTCTCTGTTTAGCCTGTATTTTGAAAAAATTGCTACTTTGAAAATGGTTATGTGAATCCCAAGGAGAGATGGAGAAGCACTGAGTATTCCAGGTGTTTTACATAGATGTGTATCTGTAGTTGTTTATGTATGTATTTGTATAAATACATGTAATACAAATTTGCAAGAATAAAAATTAACTTTCCTCAGATAAAAGTTCACATGACCAACATCTCCCATTCAAGTGTGTGGGCATATATATGAAATTATGTGCACATTCAGTACCTGCCTTCCTGGAGATCTATAAGCAATAGTAAATCCTTTTTATTGGTGTTTTTCCACTCCTATCAAAGGGACAAGACAAACCTATCCTTTTTAAAACTTACACTGCCTCACTCTCCTACAAAAGGGCTTTTTAAAAATAGCTGGAAAGGAATTTTCAGGGCCAGCTCCTCACCAGTTCAGCTCTGCTTTTTAGCACCCAGACAGTCAGAACAGCAGTCAAGAGCCCTCCAGAACAGAGATTTTTGTAGCAGTGACTCAGATTTGTGCCACTTCACGTTTTTTTGTGTGACTGGAGTTCCACTATGGACCATCTGTTATGGCTACCCAGGCAGGAAAAGGGAGCTCTCATCCACATTGGCATTCTGCTCTTTGCAGAGCAGCTTATCAAACAGGATTGCTGCAGAGATACCACTGTGCAAGTCCTGCTGTATTGAGTGATAAACATAAATGGATCTAGCTGGAGCTTGTTTCACCTGGCACATGTGACATGTATTTGTCTACAGGAGGGGTCACATAATGCTCCATAAAGGATCTCCTATATGTCAAAAGAAGCATTATCAGAGTACCATGGGATTAGTCCAGATATTCCCTGTTCCAATACTAGGAAGCAAGAAAAGACTTGATCTCCCCAGAGAACTAATTATTCAGACCATCAGGAAAAAGACCAGCCCGAGAAAGTGTTATGGAGGCAGCAGCAGAGCTGTTTGAAGAGGCAAATCAGCATGTGAACAAGGCTTTTCTGATACATCTTTTAAGAAAAATGAATACTGTGGAACACCATATCAAAGCAACTGCTCTGCTCCATCACTGATTGAAAGGGCACAATCTGAGACTTTTTTGTTTACTTTTGAATCCAATTCACGTGTAACAAGGAATCATTCTGCTTAAGTCTGTTTACCCTCCAGTTGACTCCTGATTCACATTTTTGGTTTTGGGGAGGCTTTTAGGCAGTGTTTACAATTGCCATATTGAGTTTCTCTAATAATAAGCAAGTGCTTGTTACTCCTTCCTCCTGCTCCTCCTATCAGCTGTGCCATGGCACTGTCAGTGCCCTCAGGAACTGAGTTCCTGGTGGGTGTGGGATAAGCAAGTTAGGGTCATAGACACAACTACCAGAATGGGAACTAATTCTTCCACTCTGTTTATAGACACTGTGTCACCTGAAGTCTGTTTCTGTAGTCAACATGGCAAGATAAGCAGGAGCTTGCTCGCCTTGGCAGCTGGCTAGCTGCCTCCTCCAGCACAACATTGCTCTCACTTATTCCCCAATTCATGGGTTTGTTCCTGCTTTGTTCCCCTCCCCCAGCGTCTTAGCTTGCCTCCAGGCCACAGGCACTCCTTTAAGCCAAATTTTCTGAATTTTTTCGCTTTTCTTTGCTGCCTGTTTACCTCTTACCTTCCTCGGGCTTTGCACTGCGCTGCTGGGCCAACTCCCCTCCCCAACTGTCCTGCCCGCCCCAACTGCCACCTACAACTGCCCCAGAAGGTTCTGGTGCTGCCAGAGTTAAGTATTTTGAGTTTCAGCCTCTGGCACCTGAAACTGCCTGGAAACAGCAAAGTGTGGTATGTGGTTCCCCTGTGCCACTGAGGGATGTCTGAGTCTCAAGTGAAATGAGCTCATCTTCTGCTTTTGGTTTTGTGATCATGTCTCCCTCAAGTACCTGAAGGGAACCCACCAAAAAGATGGAGAGGGATTTTTTGAAGAGCATGTGGTGATAGGACAAGGGGGAATAGATTCAAACTAAAAGAGAGTAGGTTTAGATTACATATTATGAAAAAATTCTTTGCTGTTCGGGTGCTGGCACAGGCTGCCCAGAGAAGCTGTGGCTGCCCCATCCCTGGGAGCATCCAAGGCCAGGTTGGATGGGGCTTGGAGCAACCTGGTATAGTGGAAGATGTCCCTGCAACTGCCATTGGGTCAGAATGAGAGGATCTTTCATTTCTCAACCCAAACAATTCCTTGGTTCTGTCTCTTCAGTTAACTCTGCATTTAATGTGTTACAAACCAATATATACATTGCCATAAAACCATCCTCTTCAGGTGAGCACCATCTACTGTGGCCCAGCTTCCTACTTATATCACCCTGGAAAGAACAAATGAGTAAAATACCCCTGTGTGTGTGTGGTGAAGGTGCCCAGAGTGTGTGTGAACTGTAGCACTTCCCAATCTCCACTGAAACATCACCAGCTCCCTCCCAGGCTTGGTGTATCTCTCGTGATCACAGAAGCAGATGATAAAACTTGGGTTTTTCCACAAGTGCAGAGACCCTGAGGATGGAGTAGGCTGAGACAGAGATATCTCATTCTCTTTGTTGTAAAAGAGAGCAGGCAAGTATTCATGATGTATTTTTTTAACCTGCTTTATCTCTGTCTCATGGTACAGCTTTAACCTGTTGGATATTTTTTTAATTTTCAAATTATGGCAAATGAATGCATTCTATAGTCAGTGGCTCAGCTCAGCATTGTAAGGAATGCTTAACATCAGAGGGGGTCTAGCAGTACTTAAGTTTAAAGCACAAGTATTAATGGGTTCCAAATTCTGCAGTAGGAATGGATATGTAGGAATACTGCCAAAATGGGAAGGATAGAAAAAGAAAGGTAATAGGAGCATTTTCTAGAGTCTTCTGAGATCCACTGTCAGGTAAACAAATAGGATAATTTTGCCACTGAGAAAATTACATGAATTAGGAGGTTGTAGTTCTGTCATGACCCTGTGCAGGAATTTCAGATACCCTACAAATGACCAGTAAGAAAGGACTTGGTGTGGGACAGGAACTGGAGTTGAAATCCAAAAGCTATAAATCCTAGAAAATGGCAGAAATTCATTCAATTGAGATGGAAAATAGCAAAGAAATATCTAAATAATCTCCTGACTAAGCAGACCACACAAAAATAGATAAGTGGAACAAGAGCAAAACTGGTGTTCTGTGCAAGCACTGGAAGTTTAAAAACTTGATGAGGATGTCTCACTCTAAAGGAGCACTCTGATAGAGAAGGAATGGCATTAAAGCCTCTCCCATACTTGATGGCCAAAAGAGATGAGGATGCCAAGGTTAGGAAAAGAATAGCAAATAAACAGGAAATACACCACTGTACAAATCCATTGTGCATCCTTCCTTATCTCTGTGTAATTTAGAGAAGGCCAAGAAATAAGATGGCTTGGTACAATTCGCACAGAAGGAAGAAGGATTCACACGCTCGTGATCTTGATCTCAGAATTAAAAAAACTTCATGCTGAATTTGACAGCTTTGTCAAGATCTTCAGTGGAAGGGAGACAGGTGAATGAGGGAGTTATTTATCAAAACTGCTTTGTATTTTTTGTTCTTATGTTATCTGGCAAGATGGAATATTGCAAGCTCCCACATCCTGCTAGGGAGGCAAAAGGTTTGAATAGGTTCAATAAAGCAAAATTTTAAAAATCAGATGCTCAAGGGCACTGAGGAGATTAAATTGTCCTCATATTTTAATGGGCTGCTTTAATTGCAACGTACATACAACATATTAATGAGTGGAGAAGGCCTATCTAAATACTAAATAAAAAAGCACCACTATCAGCTTTAAAAGTCTGCTCTATAGAAAAGTCTAAACACCAGATTTAGGGTAAGATAGCTCAGAAAATACAGAAGAATTGGAGCCAATATAAAATATGTGATGTGGTAATATTTGCATATGATCATTATTAAGTGGCTTCTTTGACATTCTGTGCAGTCCCCACACTTGAGGAATTTTCAGCATTATCCAGTGTCAGCTGGAACCTGGAAGAATTTATAGCAAGAATCAATAGCCAGGACTTGAGTGAGAGCTGATCAAAAACAGAACTGAGATTTCCCTTTTTAAGAAGCAAGAAGTTCAAACCACAGTTTGCTGGGCACCATTTGGCACCAGAGAACACCTCTGGAAAATTTGTCTCAAGCTGTATTTAGTACATCCAAAGAAACTGTAGCTCCCACTTGAGCCATTTCAGCTCAAATACAAATAAATAAATATTTTAGAGAGTTGTGTGCTTCTGAGTAATGTTTAGTTCTAATATGTGCCTTTCTAGGTGAGTTCCCACCTCAGAGCATATTCATTTCCAACTGCAATTCTATAAGTGTGCACCTGTACTTTGTGTGTTAAAGTCCATCAAAAATACACTAGGCATTGAAATTCTAATATTGAAAGCTTTTAGTAAAATGGCTAATGAGAGACCTTCAGACAAGCACTTCCCAGCAAGTTTGTTTTAGAATAATTATAGTTTCTTTCAATTACTGGCATTTAATGACAGGCTGTTGAGACATTTTTTTTAGTTCCATAATCCTTGTAGAGTCCTTTGTTCTTGAAATTTTATCACCATCTTGATGCATGAGTGTGAGTTACTCCAGGGAAATGCTGTTCAATGCTTGCTTGAATACAATTTTAAAATGTAATTTTTATCTTTTCTCTGATTTGTACCTAGGTCAAATTCATGTTATGATCTTGGGTTCCTTCTTGAAAACCCACTGCAGCTTCATTCAGGATCTTAAAATATTATGTAAGTCACATCCTGGAAGATGTGAAAATAGATTTTTTTTCATCTTCTACTTAAAGCATCCTTTTGAGTTACTAAACTTTCCTCCGAAGTACACTGGTTTTGATCCAGAATTTCATTCCATGACATTCAAACTGTTCTGATCACATCAAATGTAATTCCACCCCCACCGAAACCCACCTCAGGCCTTCTCCCAGCGTGATCCAGTGATTTTTTTTTTGAGATGTTACAGGAAGTTACACACTACCATTTTGATACACAACAGTGAATACACTTTGGAGCCTTTTTTCAGAATTCCTGGTAGCATTGCAACTCAGCAAACCGGTTTGATACATCTGTGTAAACAATTTAACTTGTCCCCTGTTCCCTCACTGCTTTGCTTTTGACAAATTGACAGAATTTTGACAAATATATTCACCAAAGCTTTCATACAGTGCCTATCATCCCATTCAAATGGTTTCTTCACAAAAAATACCAGTAGTGTTGGTCCTGCTACACCTGTCTTTGTGGTGATCTACAGGATATTTCAACCTCAATGTCATGTATGCAGAATTTTTTATTTTATTTTAGTTGCAAAAATATTTGCCACCTGAAATATTCTTCACTCATTGAAGCCATCAAACAGAAATATAAGCAAGGTTGTCTGCTTTCAACAGAGATCTACAAAAATCCTCATTACCTCCTGGGGAAAAAAGGGTAAAAGACATTTGCAGAGAAAAGTGGGGCATCTATTGTTGCTGCATATTTAATTTTATTTGATTTACTATACTTAACTTTCTCCCTTGTTGGCAAAAACAACCTTAGCTGCTGCTCATGCTGTTTGCCAGCATCTCCATCTGCATCTTTGGTTACTCCTCGGATTCGTTCTCCTGCATTTGCAGAACGCTGCTTGCATCCTCTGCACTCCCGTGGGAATGTTTCCCCTTTGTGGCTAACATTCACAGCAGCATGAAGTTACTCTGGTTGTGGATGACATTTTCCTGCAGCTGCAGACACCTGAGCCCAGCTCCCTCTCGAGTCTCTTACGTGGCCTTGGTGATCACTGCCAGCGATAAGGGAATGCCTCTGTCTGGTCTTCGGAAGTCTTGGATTCGCGCTGTGAATCCACACCCACGTTTCAGTTCTGTCAGTAATCCCAAATCCCCCGTGGGAGAGTTTATCTGAATTAATCTCATCTTGTAATTTTGCCATGTAGGTTTATTTTGCAACTGGACCATTCCTTATCTTACCTTCTGTAGGTTTTCTTTCTCCTGGGAGTGGTTTCCATAAAACACTCAGAAAGCATTTAATTCCGTCTCAAAGTTAGTGCTGCATTTGCTTGGAATTTCTGTCTGGCCTGTTTTCTGCTGACCTTTACTTAAATGATTATGTATATGCATGTGTGCACGTGTATTTGTAGAGCTTTTCTATCTTCCTCGGGTTTAATTTTACCCCATAAGGCAAGCTTTCCTCTCGAGTGTGATGTCCCAGTTGTTTTATTAGGATTGTGACAAGTCTGCTCACACGAGGCACATCCACAGCACATCTGAATGAAAGCAAACATCCTGTGTTCCTCAGCCTTCTCTAAACCCCAGCAGATGGCTGCTGCTTCTGCAAACTGCGTGCAATAGGATGGATCACATTTCCCATGCAGCAGACTTATTTCTGGAATCCAAACCCAGTATACTTCCAGAAGGTGGGAACATGGATCCAGCCACAAAGCAGTTTAGCCCAAACCAGTCCTACACGGTGCCTCCCCACAGCTCAGCCCCTCTTGCTGTTTGGGATGGATGTACAGCGGGGCTGAGCCAGCCAGGTGGACTGGTAACAACTTCCACGTGCAAATCTTTAAACACCAAGCCTAAAAGTTCTGTGTGCATTTGTTAGAATCTGTGTGTGTTTATTTTTTCCCTCTGTGATTAGGTATCGCGTGGAGATAAAAAGTGTTTTTTGGAATGATTGGGTTTCCTTGATGCTTAGAGCCAGTCCCTGCTCAGGATCCTGGCAGGATCTGCAGGAGGTGACGTGTATTTTGTCTGCCTCAGGTAACACTCGGGGGACACGTGCCACAGAGAATTGTCCTTACCCTGGTTCCCTGCAGCAGCAGTACCCTGATGTGTCTGTGCTTAACAGAATCAGGGGCACTTCAGTGTCTGGGTGAATTAGCAGGAATCGCAGAATGACAGAATGTTTTGGGCTGGAAGAGACCTCAAAGATCATCTTATTTCACTCCCTGCTGTGGACAGGGGCACCTTTCAGTAGACCAGGTTACTCCAAGGATCATCCAACGTGGCCCTGACCAGGGATGGGACATCCATAACTTCTCTGCAAAACTTTTCTCAGCTTGAAACTTGGTCCTGAATGTGTGTGGTGTGTTCAGGGACTCATTCCCACTCATTCTTTCTCCCAGAAGAAGGCAACAAAGGCATTATTTGGGCTGCAAGTCCAGGCAAAGAGCCTCTGCTAGGTCTGTTGAGAATGTTTTGTCCTGAGGAGAGGGCAGTTTGGGAGGGGGCTTAATCTTTCCATGCTTAAAATTTTTCTCCAGTGAGCAACAGGCTCAGTCTCAGCCATTTGTGCCCACTTCCCATCTCATGTTGGAGTATTTAGCATCAAAGAAGGCTTTTGAAAGAACACCTGCATTCTTCTACAACTTGTGCACTGATTTCTTTGCATGGATGATCTTCAATGGGCTTCACATCTGTTCTGTTGCATTCAGAGGCCCTAAAAATGATGCCATTTGTTTAGAATCATAGAATCATTAGGGATGGAAAATACCTCCAAGATCATCAAATCTAGGAAGTAATTCTAAAGAATTACAAAATTTCTGTTGTTTCTCCTCCAAATACACTGATTATAAAAATGTCTGTGTGCAAGCCAGGCTAGCATTAACTACCCTTGCGTGCCTCCATCAGGCAGAACCTCTCTGGTCATGCAAAGCCAATATACAATTAATGTATATCATGGGATATTCTCCTCCATCACACCAATGTAGAAAGCTCCCCGTGGCTCTGGAGTGCATATTTCCATTAAGGATTCAGTAGGCTAGTCACAGTCCAAAATAGTCTTCATTATTTCCTAAATCAAAGTTATTCACACTTCCAATTTCCTTTAAAATTCACTGTTTGTTTTGTTTTTTTTAACAAACTGTTGTTAAGCCCAGCACACTGTTGGTCAAAACCTCTGACTAGTTGGAGTAAAAGATGAGATTGTTGATCCTGTCTTCCAACAGCTTCTTCTGTGCTTGAAGAGATACTCCCCAGATGGTTATGACTTTTTTTTCCCACTAATGGGACTAAGTGTCATTGACTGGGGTAGGCAGCCAAAGACTTTCTTGATTTTTTTTATTTTATTTTTACAAAAGGTTGTGCTCAGAAAAATCAATATTACAGAAAAAAGCAACCTATCAGCATTCCCCTTTATGTAGAGAGGAATTTCCATTTGCTTTATTTTATTATGTATTCTGGCCACAGAAGGATGGGCACTGAAATCAGGTGGATAACCTGCAGCCATGGAACTCTGACAATAATTTAGTATATTTTGCAAATTGCAATATTTTTGCTCTTGTTTTGGTTCTTTAATCGAGAAGAAAGATTTACAACTGGTTGTACTGACCCACTCAAAGGTGTTTGTAAATAAAGTATGAACCACAAAGCTGTATCTATTTCTTGTCCTTTTTCTTACAGTTTTCAGCACAGCAGTGCCTCTTGGGCTTTTCCAGAGTTTTTCAAACTCAACAAAAGCATCTGTGAACCATTTTGCCTGCTGCAGTGAGCCACGTGGTTGTGCATCTGGGAAGAGGGACAACAGTATGAAAAATGAGACAAACTTAAAGTCATAGAATCATTTTGGTTGGAAAAAGCCCTCTAAGACCATTGATTCCAAACACTAATCCAGCACTGCCAAGCCCACCACTAAATCATGTCCCCAAGTGCCACATCGTTATGTTTTTTGAACACTTGCAGGGATGGTGACTCCACCAGTTCCTTGGGCATCCTGTTCCAATGGCTGCCAACCCTTTCAGTGAAGAAATTTTTCTTAATACTTTTCCTCCTCTACAAAAATGTATGATTCTGGCACAAGTGGGCTTGAATAAAATTGTCATGAATGATACCCATGATCAAACAAGGTATCAGAATCACTTATTCTTTAACAATAGAGCTGGAATCAAGTGGAGATACCTGAAGGGGGCCTATAAGAAAGATGGAGAGGGACCCTTTACAAGAGCTTGGAGTGACAGGACAAGGGGGAATAGATTCAAACTTTAAAAAGATTAGATATAGACTGGATATTAATAATAAACCTTTACTGTGAGGGTGGTGGGGCCCTGGCACAGGGTGTCCAGAGAAGCTGTGGCTGCCCCATCCCTGGATGTTTAAGGCCAGGTTGGATGTGGCTTTGAGCAACCTGGTCTGGTGGAAGATGTTCCTGCCTGTGGCAGGGGGGTGGAATGAGGTGATTTCACATCCTTTCCAACCCAAACCATTTTATTGATTCCATTTCTATTGGTGTTTGCTAGAATCAGAAGCAAAGGGCCATGTGCACAGCCTTGTAGATTTTAAGTGGGAGAGAAGATTCCCATGAAATTCCTGATCAGAATACAGCCTAAAACACACTCAGCCAGAAGCCTTTGGTAAACACTGAGCCTCTCACCTTCCTGCTCCATACTCATACGCAGATTTCACACCCTACGTATATCCCACATTTAGCTCAGGATTTTCCCCCCTGTAACTGCTGTGGGTGCCTTACACTGCCCAAAATCTCTTCTGCCCAGCCAGGGGCTCCAGCATTGCTGCAGAGGAGGACAGAAAGGTGCAGCTCATCAGGTCCTTGGAGAGGGCAGTGACCCTGTGTGGGTATTAAAGAAGGTAACAGTAGGCTCAAGCTGTTCAGGAGAGAAATACAAATAACTCCCTAAGAGCACAAATAAGGCACATTCAAATGTGTTTAATTGTGTGTGCCTGTCTGGAAATCTGGCTCATCATCCCTCTTTCCATTTCTCACTCAGAGGGTCACCAGTGCCTGAAAACACTGATGTGCCAAGGAAGCCAATTCCTTGTGAGGGCATGACTCTGCTCCACACAGACATTTTCCCTTCTGTCACTTGGCATAATTCAGTATGTGACTTGAAAATCTAAAATATAAACAAGAGAGATGAACCAGGGCCAACTGTGTTGCAAGCAGAAGTCTCAAACCTTCCCAGTAAGTGAAGAATACCTCTCCTCTAGAAATATCACTCATTTCTCCATTCTTTTCAGCTTAACCAGAACAATTTCTTTGCAGCTTTTAACCTGTGAGTAAATAGGGGCAAAAATACCATGGTGGGACACACATGTATGAGACTATAAAAGCACTCAATGCCTCACAATACACAATTTATCAAGAAAGTTTCTCCCATCTCCTAGTTCTATTCCTGTGAATTGCTTATTGCTTTTCTTTCTTGCTTAGAATCATTTTCTCCTGTAACTTTGTTGCTCTTTAACAGTTCTTTCACAGTTAAAAACCTTCAGGGTATTTGGACATCATTCTAAGAATGACAGAACTGTCCCCTGTATTGTCCTTTAGTGGTTTCTGGTCATTCCCATGTTCCAGGATGCACCAAGTTACTGCAGCTTTTTCCTCTAAAAATTGATAAATGATACAACTGAGCTAAACAAATAGAAAAAAGCCAAGAATTTATGGGAGTGTGGAGGGCACGATCCTTTCAGACAATTATTAAACTGAATTAACAAGAGTAACAATTTCTTAACTGGGAAGGAAAGCAGGGAGAATAATTCTATGAAAGTTAATACTGCTGTTAATACTAAAGAGTTGAAAGCTCCATTCCACATTTTTTTAGGGAAATTATTCTGAGGGAAAAAAAATAAATTATAAATATATGAAAATATACTCAAATATATGAAACACATTAAATATATGAAAGTATATATGAGTATGAAAATATTTGTGGTGCTTTAGTAGTGAGTTGTCATCTCTTGTGAAGGAAACCCAATCTTAATTTTAGTGTTTCCTGTGCTTGTATGGTGTAGGGGAGTTGCTGAATGGTTCATTTTGGCCTCTGCCATTATAATGTACCTTATTTCTAATTAGAATTATGTCCAATTTTGGCTCTCAGGCATTCATCCTGTCATATGTTGATTACTGTAATAAATATTGTCATTACTGAGTTTATTCCTATATGCAAACTGAACATCAGAGTCTGCAGTGCTCACAGATATTTCAAGCAGGATAAGCAGCCTCTTCAAACCTTCTGTCTTCTCTCCTGTGGTTTCCCAGCCCAGGAGTGGGGAAGGGCTGCAGGGTCAGTGGAGAAGAGCTCCTGGAGCCAGGCTTTTGGGGGTTGTTTTTTTTCCCCCTGTACATTATGACCTCTGCAAGGAAAATACTGATGAGTTGAAGCATCCCACTCTGCTAGTCATCCCACCAAACCTGAACTCAGCAGTTCTCACAGACGTGTGGCAGGATCAGATACTCATATTGGTTGTTAATTAATTTTTCTAACTGTGGTATCTTCATAGAAGCCTCTGTTGCAAAAGAAATTTTAAACGTGGTTAAATCTGGGTGTTTCTCCCATGTAAATAGATCTCAGTGGTATATAGGTTGTATTAAATACTGTATTTGAGTAAAGGCACTCAGAGAAAAGACAATTCCTTGTAGTGGGCTGAAGCCAAGTGCCCACCAAGCCATTCTGTGAATCCCCTCCATCAGGATGGGACAAGAGGAAATAAGATGGAAAAAACCTCATGGGTTACAATAAAAGTTACAATAATACATATTTATAATACATAATAATATATATTATAATATATATTATAATAAAGGTTACAATAAAGGTAAATAAAGCAAAAGCAAAGGCCATGAATTGAAGCAAAGGAAAATAAAGTATTTATTCCCTACTTCCCACCAGCAGGCAGGGTCCAGCCACTTCCTGGGAAGAGCTTCAGCTTGGAGCAGCTGTAAGGACAGAATGCCCTCCCTCTTTCTCCAGTCTCAGCTTTTATTGATGACCAGGCATCAATTGGTTTGAAACATCCCTTTGGTCAGCTGGGGTCAGCTGTCCTGGCTGTGTCCTCTCCCAAATCCTTGTCCACCCGCAGCCTCCTGGTGAGGGGAGGGTGCTGGAGGGGCAGCTCGATGCTGTGGAGTGCTGGGCAGCAGCAGCCAAAACACCGGTGTGTTATTTATCAACACCTTCCCAGCTACCAAAACACAGCACAGCCCAGTGGGGGCTGCTGTGGGGATAATTAACTTCATCCCAGCCAGACCCAGCACAGGACAAAAAACATCTTTAGCCTTCTCCTGGTGGAGGCTGGGAACACTCACAGCCATTTCAGACCTGTCCTGGTTTCCAAGAACGATGATTTTAAATGGATTGTCAGTGCCCCTAGGGCAGTAAATACAACACTGCTAAAGTGTTGGTAAGCAAACAGAGCCGCAGGAGAGATCCATGGGTTTTTCAAACTAAAGTGAAATGAAACAGACTTGGTTTATCATCTCTTCCTACATAATGCACAATGGCACCAAGCACAGACGGGCTCCTGCACACACTTCATGCTGTATCCCAAGTGTGTGTGGTGTAAAGAGCTCCCACAGTTCCTAAAACCCACACAGGAACACAGCAGCAAGTCAAGTCACTGCAGCAGAGACAGAAGCCAACAGCCCCTGTGTGCTCATGGTGTCTCATCTCACACCATCTCTTTATTATGTTCTTGTTCTCCCATCCAGCTCTTTAAACATACAAAAGGAAACACCAAAAGGTTGCTTTAGTGCCACACATGGTAAAAAACCTCCATTCATCTTCATCTTGAGGCTACAGAGCTCACAGCCTGGACTTTTCAGAGGGCAGAGCTTGGTAAAAGCCCTTGCTCAGGGGAGAGCTCTTGGGCTAAGCACAAACTTCAGCCCCACTGCCCCCATCCCCAGGCCCAGCTCCCACTGGACTGGCACAAGAGGTTCCCTGCCTGTGTTTCCCTTCCCCTCGTGCTCATTAGCAAGGAAAACAGAGCTTGGCAGCAATCCCAGCACTGCGTTTGCTAAATGGATCTATTAAAATGTAAACAGAGATCACGTTGCAGGGCATCATCATAAAATACCATGGGTGACAGCTCAGCTGCTTCCCAAACACCGGCTGGGCTGCACCGAGCTCCTCTGGCACATCCCGGTCACAGCTACCCCGACTCTTCCTCCTCTCTCCAAACATTTGCCCACTGGGTTTTTTGAAGGCTCATCATTATCTGTCAGTGCCCTGCAGCCTCACACCAACAGGAGCCTCGCTGCATCTCCAGCACATTTTAGAGCCACACAATCTCTCTGAGGCTTTCTGCTTTAGGAAAACAGGACTCTGGTGCCTCAGAGGCCCCTTGCCATCCCTTCAGAAGCCCTTGAGTTTGCAGTTTAGCATTGATGGAGCACAGGACAGGCCATACGGGTTACACCTGTCTTACTCCTGCCTGATACACATCTAGGAGGAGTTTTATCACCTTTTTGTCTGACTTCCAAATGAACATTTTCCTGCTCTCACCCCTGCTGCCCCTCCTCGCACTCCCCAGGGGCTCTCAGGAAGCCACCAAGCCATTGCTTTATTCTCTTTCAAGAATTCTTTAAAATCATGTGTGCATTCACCTCCTGGTCTGCAAAAGCTTGACAGAAATTGG